TGGTCGAGCCCTCGTCAAACAAAACAAACACATGAGACGTGTGTGTTCAAACGCTGTAAGAAGCAGATATGTTCGAAATCGACGAGCTTTTCTTGTTTGTGTTGGTACCGTTCTTTGCTTCGGAGCGGGAATATTTCCTAGTGCCGTATGGTTCACATGGAACAGCTTTGCTACTTATCAAATTCTAGGAAAGTATGTTTGGCTTTATTATTTTGGGCATCTTTTGCGGATCGCTGGCACAAATGCAGCAAATCCTCTTGTATATGGAATGATGGACAATAAGTTACTTGCTTTTTGGAAGAATTGTCGCCGAAAGAAACAAGTTCCCTAAAAATAGTTATGTGAAACGGAACAGAAATAACGCCCAAAAGCCAAAGCGAAACTCCTGGACGTTACGGATTATATAAATGAACTGTAATGTAAACGTAAATATGACAAATCTCGTTCTTCTGACATTGCTTAGATTTTAGATGCCTTAGATCAGTTAGATATAGTTGTTCAGTTCAAACATTGTGTTATTTAAACGACATGTTGTTAAGCTAAATCATGTCTTCTGGACACATGTCTTATGGATTGTCTATGCATGGCTAAATTGAAAAGATTATAATTCATTTAATATTACGTTAGCGGTTTACGCGCTGGCGATGCTGCCTGTAAAAATATGCTCATCTATAATTAGGTTTACGGGCTTCAACCGCGCGGGCAAGGAGGTCGTTAATTGAAAATTGCATTTTCAAAATATGTTTGTTGTAATAAATTTTGAAACATTGTTGCTTATCAAAACGTAGCTTTAACTGCGACATTCACAACAGTGGCGGGGATCTAGCCTTAGAATAAAACACAGCTAAATTTAAAATTCAAAACACCTGAATAATAGCGCTAATGGTTATGGATTTCGAGGGAGTATCTTAAAATAAAAATCTACCAATGGGATTGCGATTTTAAGCTGTATTTATTCGGATTACCCCTAGATCCGCCTATTTCCGCCACTGGTTTGCAATGCTGCAACGTATTGCACCTGTTTGTCATAGTTATTGTAGGTTTCCTAAGTGTTCATTGTACTAAATAAACATTTAAGTAAAAGCTGTCAGTCACCAACCATATGATAAAATAGTTTATAAACAATAATATTAACTGCGTGACGTGTTATGTTAGCGTGAAAAAGCAATGTAGCTACTATAATTACAATTAAAAGAAAGTCGCGTGCTTTTATGATTGATGTACTAAGTCGTGATAATTATATGAAATGAATACATAGAAGGCTAGTTTTAAAAGGACTCATGTCCATCAAGTGACGCAATAACGTGGAGTAAGACTTTTTTCATCATCCACGCTATATACATTATAACGTTGACAAAAAACGTATGCCATGCACAGCCTCGTACCCAGGCGCTTTAATAGTAAAAAATAATGTTGCATTCAGTTATTGTATCGAGGTCAGCTTAAAAAAACGCGAGCGCGCGGGGGTGCTTGGGGTGGTTTTGCCAAATTTAGCGCCTGGCGGAAAATGAATTCAACATGACAGCATGTAAACAATCAAATGAATTATACAATATAATACAATACAATATAATTATATACTATAATTACTTGAATTATAGATCCAGGTTTTTACAGATACCCCGGTTTTTAAAAATGTCATAGGTTGATTAATATTATGTTACAAATTATATCCGATAAGTATCACGTATGGAATCAATTTACTTTTAAATTCAAGTTGTTGCCATATCTCGTTTAATTCATCATCGGATTATTAAACCTGTAAACAAAGGAATATGAGTTTATCTTTTATTTCATGAACAGAAATCTCTTAATATGTTGTAAATGCGATCGCTTTTCCCAATAGTAATATGTAAATACGGCATGCGATTATTCGAGTACTCTACGAATATAATCACTCCGACGGAAAATATTTAAATAAAAGTACCTTCAGATGATTCTTCGCCAAAGGAAACGTTCATAATACTTGGCTAGCCCGTAGACAATCGATCCAGCAAAAAAATTATAAATAATGAGAATAAAAACTGCAAAATACAAGCGTTTGCCAGAAATCGGTCACGATTTGCCAGAAATCGGTCATTTTCTGCCAGGCGCTTCCTCGCTAAAACCAACCTCCCCAAGCACCCTTGCTTTTTCAGCTGAACTCTATACATTACCTGGATGCAACGTTATAGATTTACTATTAAAGCGCCTGGGTACGAGGCTGTGCCATGCACGTATTTATTCTTATAATAAATATGATACAATTATTGAATTCGTAATTCGCAAAATGTTCAATAATCATCTTTTTCATTACTAAATAAGTATAAAGCACTATGGAATCTCTCCAGGCCTCTTCGACTCACTCACAATCTCTTAAAGCGGAAAGCAACCTGAGACAACTCAATCGATGGTAAACGGTCGACCCTATTAACGTACAATTCGACCAATCAGCCCGCTTAAGCCTTGTGAACATAGACGCTTATTTCTAGAATTGTCTTCGAAAGTAGTTTAGCACAATGAAAGAGGTGGGAATTTTCACGGCTATACTAAACACAATGTTAATAATGATAGACTATACATATATTTTGATGGCAGGTTGTGGTATAAATCTTCCGAAATGCTTTTTATGAATGTTGTGGCATACATGTAATTTATTGTTTAATTATAAACACAAAGTCTGTTATATTGTTACGGTACTGAATTCCCATCCTATTTTTAGTTTTGCTGTTTTATAAAGTATTACGAACAGCTACCTGGAGAGCATTGCTATTGGTTCAACCCAGACACAATGTAACATAACTCTGACCTACTAAAAAACTGAACTCGAACTTTCTTTGTTTGCAATTTGCTTGCAACACTCTTTTGTTATCTTTACCTTAAAAAATTGTTTTTTCTCCTAACCTTGAAGATCGCTGGCGTAAATTATCTACTAATAGACAATACGTGGATTTCAAATTTGGATATGTTCTGGAAACAGCTAAATCTATGTCCGTGGATCAATTCTTCCCTTGTAGAATATTGAATAAAAATGGTTAGTGCATGTAATGTTTGGGTCATTGTCAATATGGTCTGGTTGGTACTTCTTATATTCACCTCTGCATTCACGTTCATCTTGACTCAGTTTAGTTAATTACGCAATTGAAGCCCTGGGACTGGCTTAGTATTCGCGTTCACAATGATAGAAATCCAATGTTTTAGTTACTTCATGGTACTGACATTTCATGGCGCATTTCCCCACCATTTCCAAAAAGATTAACAAGACCAGGTTTCGTCAGCTAAAGACTTCTTGCTAAAATGATATTAGGTACCGATGCTGAAATACAGTTCATCAGCCCAATGCTAGAACTCTTTGCTTTCCAACGAGATGTACGCAACTAAATATTAACAAAATTTCACTCTGCTGTATGTGATCACTTATGCGAGTGTTCAGGATCAACGTCTTTTACTCCACATTTGAAATGCCTTTGGCATCTACCTAATCTTAGAAATGTATTCTGTGTAGAATGATCTTTCCTAATATATTCTCCTAATAAAGGATTTCCTCATCACCATTTCCTGCATGCTTTAAAATTTCTTTGACATATTCTTAAAGTTGTACCTTTTGCCATTTTCGCGGACCGAATGCATGTACCTTCTTTTCACCTTCTTTGTTGATTTCTTTCATTCGAACTTCAGATATTTCGTATACATGAGTATTTTTTATTTCTTTGTCAAATGTTAAATCATGCTCTCGCAATAATCTTTTTAGCACATCTTTAGCAATTTTTCCCTTGGACCCAGATCCCTGTCTTGCCTCAGGTTGTGAAATGCATCAAACGTATGCGTTGGCTTGTCTAGGCTTAGAAAATTCTAGAAATATATCTGCCTTTCTGTCCAATACATATGATAGGAAATATACCAACTTTTCATAACATTTGTATAAAAAAGTTAGCAATATTAGTTCTTTTATTCCAGGCCAAACATCCGTAAAATAAAGCAATCAAGGCAAGCATATTTTTTGCACTTCCTATTCTAAAATAACATCTGGCGTATTCCTTAGCCGTTTATCAACACACATGACATCATGTAATGTTTGGGTGCCTTTCTCAAACTAGGATTCAAACAGATTACGATGTCAAAATAAAAAGAAATATATTTCAAAATGGTGGTGTCAAAATAACAACAAAAGTGACCCGACCAAAGTACTGGGACTAATATAACATATTTATATGCAAATGTGTCACAGATGCCCCAAGACTACAAACATGCAGCACCGTTAGGCTTTAGTACTTTCGGACCACGAACAAACGAGCACCAATTTGCAATGGTTACTCACTAGACTCAGCGAGTCCCAATATATCATTTTAACAGTGAAATATCAGATGATTTTCTAAAAACACGAATAATTATTATAACTCGAAATTTACATAGCAGGACAAAATCATCAGGCTGGCTACGCCACAGATAAGTATAGCATACATTAGCAGTTAATAATCAAATATTGAATGAGGTCGAGCAAAATATCGCGATTTGTCGGCCGGTGGCGAGCAGGTCAATTATTCACCATCCAATTTTCATTTTTGAGTTCGTTGTAAAATATTACTATGGAAACACGTACATCGAGCTTTTCACACAATATTTTATTTCACTAAGAAACTCGCTTATAACTTACACAAAAATATCATCTGATAATAAAAACCTGGTTCGTTTAACTAACAAAACGTTGATGACTGATTTAGTCGCTTTTTTGGTGTTTTTTGCATTATTATTTTCGCATGACGAAGACAATCCAGCTTCGGACATTTTGGCACAGCGAGTCGCAATTGTCATCTTTACATCAATGCGCATTGCTCGGAGTATTATTTGCAGCTGAGCAACGTTTTTAACAAATGCGCATGCTCAAAGTATTATTTGCACGCAGTTAACCGCAGATAAATGGACCAATCAAAATTGAGAAATAAATATAATTAAATACTAGAAATAATAAATAATATAGTAATAGTTGTTATTTAACAACTATCCGCTAGGTGAAATTGTAAGCAAATTTTTACGTAAAAGCTAAATAAATCGTGTCTTTATGCACTCTTGGGATCAAATTAGTGCTTAATTATGCAACTAAATATCTAATTTCGAAAGAGTTTACAGATTTGTAATCAATACTCTATAGTGTGTATAAAACTGAAAAGCAACACTCAAATTTGAATATTCTAAAATTATTTGTTAAAATATACATGCATATAAAAATATACATATACAACAATATGAACTGTTGACTATTGATTTTTGAGTAGCTCAATAACCCACAATACTTCTATAAATATTTCTATTCAATTTCCACGACATTCCAAGAAAACCATGTAAAGTCTTTCAATTTTTTTAGAAAGACTTGAAACAAAAGAAACAGTTATGCGCTGTTTACGTATTAGAAAATCGATGGAGCCTCTTTGGCAAACCACTGAGGGTGTTGCTAGATCTTAAATTTTCTATTTTAAAAATAAGATGAAGTGGCATTTGTAAAGGAATGGATCGAAGAATGAAGTGTAAAAATGGTCATATTTTTGCCTATTAAATGCTTCGTTAAAAACCAATATCTATCAATATCGCGGTTTCAATCGACACGCGATATTTATTGGGACAAGAATATCAGTCTTAATTTTTTTGTTTTGACTATTTCAAAAAAGTAATGTTTGTTATAATTAGTTTTCAACTTCTTCGCAATTAGTTTTTATGTCAAAGTAGCTATCATTGACAACGAATCTTATCGCAGCTAGTAAAAAATAAATTGTTCTTGGTTTCACTACAATATTTATTGGCAATTTTGCTGTTAGTAACACGTTAAATGCTGTGCCGCTGAATTCAAAATTAAACGCATTATCACACAGGTTTGCTATTTCATAGGAAATACTAGAGTTGTGCTTTCTACGCAACAAAAGCAGGCATCTTCTATTTTCATCAACTAATTCCGATTTGGTTTCCACTCCAAACACGCTCCGGGTTGCCAAGTTTCGTAAAGCATCGGATGTCATCATCGGGGCCTCGTCGCTATCCCTCGGCAAGCAGGTGCATAACTTTAACTCTACACCGTCATCGACGCATTTTTGGTAGCGATTATACAGGGTATGTCTCTCAAACTTCATCAATTGTGCCGAGACGACAGTTTCGTCCGGTATTGATGGTGTCTCGATCAACACCTGAAAAACTTCAACCACATCTGGAAGTGCAGATTCTACTAGAAGATCCATAGTTACTTCCAGTCTTTTTCCGGCTTGCCTTTCGGCATTATTTCTCGTTTGCAGTCCTCGTAGCCGTACGCAAGAACCGTACCTCTTTTTGTTTGCTAGAAATAGGATGTTCTCAAGTTGAGGATAAACGTATATGTTTAACAAAATGTGTGAAAAATCAATTAATAAATTTATATTAGATTACTTATTACATAATATATAATAATAATAATATAATAATTATAATAATTAATATAATATTAATTATTATTAATATTATTAATTATTATTAATATTATATTCATTATTATTATTTCTTCCTTCTTATAGATAGGTTTTCCTAGTTTATATTGTATTCATCGAGAACTCTTGTCATTTTAAACAAGCATCCAGGGTCGACCGCCCGTCACTTATGGCGGACGACTTTGGATTTCAATGACTTTATAATATTGTTTCGTCAGAAGATAAACCTCATGCTATAGACCTTACCTTTTATAAATTGATCCTGTATCATATTATTTAGCTGCCCAATAGCAAACTCAGCTAACCATACGTGTTTCGGGGAGTTATCCTCAACTTTCTGATCCCAGCCTTCGCATTTGCATCTAGTCAGTGGGGTTAAAGGCAGAGTTTCACACGTACGGTTTCTAGGCAACATTGAAAGGATGCCATGGACCTTAAAATCTTTTGATTTCATTTTGACTGGATTGTTTAAAGACATCAACATTTGATGAATATCGAGTGTCGTAAACAGTCGTCGTTGATTTTCCACCAATGAGTGTACTTTGTCTTCGCCGAGTATTGCCGCGACATCTTCCGGAAGTATCACGAACATCAACGGATTCGAGAGTTCAAAACGGCCCTCCACTGTTTTAGCAAAATCTGTTCTTGTGTGTCCGTGATCGGATAAGAATATGGTAAGTGTGTTTGGATCACGTGCGAGATGTTTTACGTAATCTGCAAGCCCAAGGTCGTCGTTATGAATCCGCGTTCCAGAAGATGTGTGTCCCGTTTCCAAGTGAAGATAGTGAAGGATTGGGAGGGAATCCTTTCTCTTACGAATTGCCCTGATGGGAGGGAAGAAATTAGGAGGAGCTACGTGCACGGGGTAGCTTTAGCAGGAAGAGTAATCACTTTTTGAAGTATCGTAGGATATATTCTTAAGCACTTAAGAGATGCTGGAGTACGGCTATCTTTCCGATTCTAACTTATCAAGGGATCTCGAAAGACTGGTCGTTTCAGCTGGAGGTTCGCTCGAGGACAACAAGCTACATGTTAGCTGGGAAAATGGTGTAGCTACTGTTGTTTAAAATTTCATTCATTTTGATGTATCTCTGTTCAAATAAAAATATTTCAGCCAGTCTTACTATATCGCCATCTTGCATTAATTACCTGAGGTAATCGAGGTGATATTGGAGGAAGTACGTACTAATGAAGTCACCATTAAGGCACACTTGCTCTGGTTTATCGAAATCGTTAGTCATGCCATATTTGTCAAGAACTTCACATCCAAAATGAGTCAACCCATAATCGTCAATGTAGTAGCGCTTCCATCGATTATTAAGCTCTTTCCACCTATAGAAGAATATAAATCTGAAACTTATATGCTTTAAAGTCGGGTAGGTCAGGCCTAAAAACAGACATTTAACCGATATACATGATGTCATAACCTGGGTAAATTTGTTTTGTAACTTCGAATTCTCGAGTCGCTGGGATCTAAATTTATAAAATTTGTAATTTGTAAATCAGAAGACTGCTTTTGACGTCGAGCAATTAGATCTCATGAAACTAAGATGGCGGATAGCTTATTAGTTTTGCAAGGGAATATTTTGAAAATTAAATAATGAAGGTAAACAAATTCTATGAAAGACCCCATGAGGTATGTAAATCTGTTCTTTACAACAACACAACCATGATTTTTTGCCACATACTCTGAATGAAATTCAAGATGGCGTCGTTATTGGTGAAAAGGTGAAAAACAAAGTGTAAAATATAATTTTAAAGAGAATTGCAATGGTAACAAGAAGTTTTTGTACGTTTTTAGTAACTCGTTGTTTCAGGATGATTCTTTGCTGCTATTTATACTTTTCAGTTAGTCTGAAATCAACGAGACTCACGCTTGCATTCGAAACGTTCACTCACACTAATTGAGTGTGATAAAAATATTGTTATCAGCATGGAACAAACAAAAATAGATTTTTCCTAATCCATGGAACTACCTAAGGTAAAACTTTGAATATAAAATCAATACAGGCGTTAAAGGGCACGATTCGTTATTCGTTTAAAGATCACCCATATACAATTGATATTGATTCCAATTCAATCATTCCGTAGTCAAATCATTCTGTGCGCCAATCTTTACCTCTTGGAAAAATCTCTCATGTGACTGGGAGTCTTGTATTTCTCCATGTCAGTCAACGTCAGACCATATCTATCATACCAACACCCTTCTTCTTGGAACAATGTTTGATATCCAGATTTCTTGTATTCTCCAAATAGTACAGGTATACCGAGCGACTTACCCAGCTTTCTCTTTGTACTATTAAATTGTTGATTAGTATCTGAAAAGTTTTGAATATTTTAAAAAAATATAACATGTATACTTCTGGCGGAATATGGACATCATCAAGTTCTAGAAACGCAGTTAGCGAGTGGAAATGTTGCCAGATCGATAACTGGGGGTAAAAATATTCACATATTCCTATTTACATAATATGAGAACAATTTATTTCAAAACAGACGAATAATATAGAACAGTAATACATGAATACCCTTTGCTAATATTCAAATAGTCGGAAGCAACATGATTAAAGAAAATATAAGAACATAAGAAAAACAGGAGTTAGCCACTATGAAAAATAAACCTTGTTAAAAGATTTGTAATCTCATGGAAGTTTGTTCAAGCACATTAAGTTTTGTCACTGCATTATAGAAGAGGTGTTTACTATCGACGGGGGGTATATTTGACCCTTCAAACCTCTTCACGGTTCCGTTATGTGATTGTTTAAAAGTGTCCATTCTTTTAGAAAGGTAAAAACGGTATTGACTCCAAATTTCATGTCGGAAAAGGTTGTTAAAACTTTATTTAGGGTTAGCATGAATTTGTATGAAGAGCAATAAAGATCGTGGATGTTAAAACCTTGACGATATCTTACATAAAATTTTATTATTCTGGTAAGTGTAAAATTATTGGAGATATTGCCAATTATATTTCTTACAAAACTGTAAAACATGCATTTATAATAATGAAAATTTGTAATTAATAAATAGGCGAATAAATTTAATAAAAAACCCAAAAAACTATCGGCGCGCTAGTATATACGAACTCATTTCTTTAAGTTGTACATCGTAATTCTTACTCACCTGTGGTAACTCCAGAGTACAGAGGTTTACAATTATCTGTTGTATGTTGACTGATACTCTGAAGCAGTTCAAAGTCTAAAACCGTCGCCGGTATGCTGTCGTCGTACACCACTTGACGAAATGCTTCAATGGTCCGTGGCATTGAGCGATAGAAGTGCGGTCTGGAAACTGAATCTATTACGACGATATTTATGTTTATCTTCTTATTGACCTGCTTTCTTCTGGAAGACAACCATAGCTTTCTTGGTAACACCAACACTTGTTTCAAGCTACCGCATTGCAAAAACACAAAATTAAAGCCATTTTCCATGCTACGGTGAATGATTTCTTCTATTTTAGCATCACTAGGGGAATATTCCCATCGAACGATTTTTCCATAGCTTGGGCTCATCTCCCCAATGTATGGCTTTCGCGGGAAACAAGTCGACCAATCACACTCTAGACTGAAACCTGCTGCACTCTTATCAGCACTGATTTTGCATAGACTTTCATATTTTGTTTCCGAACATTGTCTTGGTGAATGTTCACTGGCTGAGCCATAGATTTCGTACGCTAATTCACAGTGTCTCACATCGGGTCTAGAGAAACATATTATAACGTAATTATTACAATTCACAACCTATTTTTGGCTAAAGGGATTATTATCAAACGGGTTGATGGTCTCCTACGAATGAAGTCATGTTGCATGTATCGACTAACGACTATCGCAGTGAAGGCAGACATAACTTGAAAGATGATGAAGTAACTGAGAATTTGTGCTCATGCAACGCGTAGTTGTTCTAAAATGTATTTTTGCTGTTTCTGTATCATATATGTATATGTCTGATCTCAGGCAGATTTTCACACGAAAGATTTTCACATAAAAGGATGCCTATTCGATTGTTTATTATAAAACAAGAATTTCGCTTCATAATAAAACAAGAATTTCGAAATTTGGAATTTTGTAGGTTGGTCACTTTGGGCGTCAGTTGTATTAATTTCATAGGCCCAATGGGCATCAGAACATTATCAAAAGTGCGTGTCAGCTAAACGGCATTACCTATGAGGCTTGCATGTTATGTCGTAATAATCGTTTGGATACATTTCCCCTCTGATTGGCTTACGCACACCCAAATATGGGCACGGATCGTCTTCGGGAAACTTTCCTTCCCTCTCAATGTTTAGAAGAGCATCGTTCAAGATTTTTGTTTCATTTTTCCGTCGCTTGTACACCCTATTTGAACTCCACATTTCTCGATACTCTGAGAATAAATTGTTTAAAATGATAAAAAAATGTTTAGAAAATATTGCGCATATTATATACAGACGTTTACGATATAAGGTGGTTTCCGAAAAAAGTATGTTTATAATTGGCCAATGTTAGCCAATCAGGGACATGACTAGTCCCCAAACTAAGTAACAGAGAAGAAAGCAAGGGGATTCAGTTTTGACGGTCCCTTTCCACATAATCGTTTAATAGCGATTTCATATCCTTATTATCCAGGACTGGTTTTATTGCGTTTAGATTGCCAAAATGGTAGATAAAGTTGAAAAACGCTCTCATACATCTTGTGAATGGCTGAACCGGTTCCTACTTCTCCATGGAATACGTATTTAATGTATGGAGAAGTAGGCTGTACCGGTTCAGTCATTCGCCAGATTTTCAACATCAAAATATTTCAGCTCAGTTGTTCAATAAATAGATCATTTTGTTTTCCATTTTGAGCTAGCTTATGCGCCGTTCAAGCTTAGGGGCTGTTTATATGAGCCCGGTTACCCGAGATTCAACGAAGCGTGAGATGATTTTGAAGTATTAAAATGAGCAGATGCATGATCCTGGCAGTCGTATAATCACCACAACAATAGCATGTGCTTATTTAGTGTCAGAAAGACTTATTTCAATACCTCAAAGTCCTCTCACGCTTCGTTGAATCTCGGGTAACCGGGCTCATGTAAACAGCCCCTTAGAGTTTGTTTAAAAGCAACGAATTGTCATGCATTGCTGGCCATTTCCAATTAATCAATTTCCAATTGGGTTAACCCAGTGAACTGAAATAAAACCTGTAACGCTAACTTGGTCGCATTCTTTGCAGTGGCGTAGCCAGCCTGACGATTTTGTCCCGCTATGTAAATTTCGAGTTATTATAATTATTCATGTCTTTAGAAATCTATTGTTTTCACAGTCAGTGAACACCAAAATATTAGCATAGCGGGACAGATTGACAGGCTGGCATGCTACTGATTCTTTGAAGCCAAATTTGAAGGTAGTTTTTCTGAGGTTTTGAACGCTTGGGACAGACATAGAGAGAAATTATCTTTGCATGTATAGAACTATGTAAAATACAGTCATTTGCCAATTTTTATGAAATTTGATCGAGAAACAGAGCAAAAAACTCAATATTAGGCTTCAGCCAAGTATAACAATGAACTATAGGAGTTCCATAGCGTTCCAGGTTTTATTACAGTTCATTCAGTTCATTGTTTTCAACTTCATTAAATTAATGACGTCTGGTAACGGTCAAAATATTACAAGAACTTGCGCATGCAACCGCTACCACTCCTGACGTCATGACGCATATCCTCAAGAATTCAAAGCAAGAAAATAAAGCTTTTTTATGGTCCTTGAAATTGGAAAGCTAGTTTCAGCCAGTTTAATTTAATGCATGCGGTTTAACACGTTACCTGTTTCACGGACGAACTTTTGCTTTATTTGTAACTTGACTTTGGAGCTTCCTAAGAAGAAAGAACAACCGATATGTGTAAAAAAGTACACTGTGACCTATATAGCGGGAAAATTATACAGTTCCAACCCGCGTCTCGAATGAATCATATATATTTTGTACTTCTCTCAAGGTGGCTTTCGTTTTTTACTTAACAGGAATATCTTAGCACCTTTAGAACGGGCATATAAGAAGATGTCGTTAACTATTTACGAGGTCAAACATTTGGTACCAATTAAGTGACAGATTTGTATAATGTATATTAATTACTTATCACGCGTATAGAACATTCATTATTCGGGATTTCACCTTGTTCTGTTTGAAGGGACTCTGATATTCTTTTCTACATGCAGGAAATCTTTTAAGGATTCTCCAGTAGCGAGGATTCTTCAGTTTGAAATGAAGCATTTATTACCGAATATATAGTCAAATTTCATATACCCGAATCAATTCTATTCTATTCACAACAGTGTTCAATATTGATAATCATGAAAATTGGGAATATACGTAAATATCTGGTACATTTTCATCCGTAACTATTTTATCCGTACTAAACCTAAAATGATGCGCAGTGTAAATTTAAGGCTTTAATCTCTCCCTTTATTCAAACTAAAGCATGTTAAAATAATATTAATCCAGTGAGTTTATGTCAACAACAAATATATGACTTCGAACAAATAAATGAATAAACGAATAAATTTCGTAGTCTTAAAATTTTTAAACAGTGGTTGAAAAAATTTCCTAGAATCACATAAGAAAGACATCAACCTGATCTATTTCCAAAGAAATAAGGATCCACTGTTTTATTTTGGACGTCACAAAGCATTTTTGTGCTCGCGACCGATGAATACAGAGATATTCTACGCAAAAGTGCATAGTCAGTAAACAAAGATTAAGTTGTATCAACGTAAGCCATGTTTACAGTACTTGCCTGGACCTATTTTTGTACTTAGCTTTGTAGTTTAAACAGGATTTCTGACATAGATCTTACAAAGATATATTCGTTATATAATATTTACCATCATTACCTGTGTAGAAAAGTGTTTCTTGTGTAAACAAATAAAGAGTACAAATTGCAACAGCCATCAAAATCTTCATAGTTTTTTTCTGCAACAGAAAAACATCTGTGAGTGACATATTTAATGAAAAATATCTCGGCCCTTCGGGTTTAAATTCTCACACGAATAGTCAACATTTTGACAGCACGTCGATTGTTTTCAAAATTTTAATGATTGAGATGAGCATATATAATCTAGATTAAACCTAAGTAATTTAGCCTGTAGGTACACCACGTAAGTATTTAATACGGCAAAGCTTTACTTATCGACTGTCACCATGCAAACATACAAGAATATTAGATTAAACCTGATATTCTTGAATTGGGGGTTCTCTTTCATAAAGGTTAGCTTCAAAAGTATTTTGTTTTCAGCATGTTTAAAACGGTTGAAAAATCGATATATCCGGAGTATAGCGCTATCCAGCCGTTGTACACCGGCCCAATGTACTTATTGTACATAAATAGAGAATAATACATGGATGCTCGAAAATATGGAATTTATTTCAAGCGTGGAGAATGATATTGAACGTGTGAGCGCAGCGAACAAGTGAGATATCATTCTCAACACGGGAAATTAACCCCATATTTTCAAGCTCCACATATTTTCGTTTTTAATACATAATATAAACCAGTTTTTTTGAAACGCTTTTCATCCCCCGGGGCGCGTATACCTGATTTCTGATTGTTGGATCAAACATGATAATCGCACATGTGTTATTATTAATGTAATTATTAAATGAGGTTGAACATGCATGATATGAAGAATTATCAAGCCGAGGTTTGTCGTTGTCCAAGCTTTGTACAACGGAAAATAGGCGCTGGATAAAACTTATCCGCTGGATAGCGGGCATAGTAGCGACGTATTTAATTTCGAACAACGACGTCCGCTGAATTTTCGTTAATTATGCGGATTGAAAAAAAATAGCAAATGATACGACTTACCTTTAAGGAAATCATTTTCCTGTTCTTCAGAGGCAGTTTTTGTAAAGTACAGTATAAGCTATAAAATTATACAAATAAAAAGAGATAACGTCAAAATTGCGTTTAAAACTAATAAGCTGTGAACAAACAGCAAGTGAACTAGAGCAAACGGCGTGAAGTGAACTACATTTAACAAGAAGATATTTGCTCTGGAGTTTACTCCAGCCATAAGCTTTTGAAGCGTAGCGAACCTAAAAGGTCTAAAATGTCGTTGGACATCAGACAGCAGATCGTTTTTAAATAAATACACAGAAATTCAAATGCTATACAAGCAAACCGTTCGTTTGTGTTCACAATTGTAAATATATTATATTATATTCAAAAACTCATTAATAATTCATAAGCATTTTAGCCAATGAAATCAACCCTAAGAAGTCACGTGTGTTGGCTTTATACGTGCAAAGTACCATGGATACCAATTAATGACATGACATGATATATGATAATTTTTATGATATTTTATGATATTATATGATATTATATGATATTATATGATATGCTAATATGATATGATATATGATATGATTTGATATGTGATATGATATGTGATATGATATGATCAGGCCTCGGTCTGATGTTCACAGTACAGACCTCATGCTCGGTAAATAATCAGTTAATAACTTAAAACGTGACATGGAAATCTGTTTTTGAAACGTTCTTTCAAACAGCATAAGAAAAACTGTCCCACAATTTGGAATGCGATTACTGTACCACAATCATAAGAAAGCAAAACTTTAATTTTGCCTTTCTCACGATGAATTTTTGCGGTACTTTCAAATTTCTCAACTATAGATTGAATAAATTAAAACAACATGAAAAGCAAGTTTTTTACAATTAACAGACCATTTTAAGAATAAAATCAGCCTGAAGTTAAAGACGGTCGCCGTTACGAGGTCTTGCGCATACAGTTTTGGCTAGAAAGGCTAATTAAAGTTGCATATGACCAAACAAGCTCTTCTATTATTCGAAAGTTAAAATATACAGTGGGGTCAAAACTTTGAGTCCGGTTGATGATTTCTCTTAAATTGCAATAAATGATATGTTGTGGGTTGGAAATTTGATATGTTGCTTGGAACTTGCATGTGCATGTGATAGTAATACCTCCCATATGTTTCTCATTAAACCTCGTGCATGTTATTTAAGTTGCACAAGAAATGCGGAATAGAAAATAGCAGATAATCGAAATCAACAATGAAGGAATGTCTCAAGGTGAAGTTATGTACATGTGTCGACGAAACAGTTATAAGGAATGTATTGAATGAAATGATGACTGGGAGAGCAAGAGCAACTCCTGCAAAGGAAGATGAAAAGGAAGTATAAAGAAAAAGAGGTCACACAAAATATTAGAACAGCGCCAATCTGTGTTAAATCCTATAACATGATTGTATGCACATGCAGCGCCGTCGTTATATCTATGTGAAAATTCATAATGATTGGATAAATCATTCTTTGTTCAATTTCATAACAGTTTGACACGCGATCTATATAGATCAGATGCGCGTGGAATATTTGCGCTTGAACAACAAACGATTTGTTAATTTAAGAAAATCATAATCTTTTCTAATCTAATCTTTTCTAAGAAAATCATAACCTAATCTTTTTTTAAGCGCATTTCTGATTTTCTTAATTCGTAAATTGCTTCTTAGAGCATTGATGAGTTGCAAACTGCAGTGGCTTCTGTATTTTTAATGAATGTCTCGATATATAATTCCTGAAATGAAAACCACCCCTTGAGGTGTTATTTTTTTTGCACGGTGATGCCGATGGTAACCAAAAGTAACCAAATTTATTGCAGCATACCATTAAAACAGAGGCTCTTCATCTGTAATTCAAGGTTAAAACTTTATAATTGGTACTATATAGCTATAAAAGTTTTGTTTGCTAAAGTGGGCCCTATAAAAATATAACGTCACTATGATACAAAAGATACGGTAGCAACATAGACTTCTAATATTAGCTGGTAGCGTATTAAATATAGCTAGTAGCTGCTGAGTGTTTGAAAGCCATGTTTCTCTTGGTACTTCAATAACTGGAACCCATGCAGGAAGATCGCAAATTATAAGCACTCGCATCATGCAAGAAAAGGGACAAATACTTGGGAAAATTTAGTATTCTTGTCATACGCCATGTAGTCTGATTTGCCTAAAAAGAAGCAATATATTTCTAATTATTACATACACAAGCGCCAGATATGAGGTATGCTGCAATTTCATTGGTTGGCTACTAGACAGATATTAGCTCATATCTGTCTAGTAGAGAAAGTAAACAAAATGGCCGAAAGATTTGGGGAGTTGAGTGAAATAGAAATCCAAGCCTAGTTGATAATAGCACACCAAAATGCACCGAAAGGGCGACAAAGTTTGTGTATATAATAAAACAGTACGCGCCTCGTCGGCTATCAGCTCATATACGACTCGAGTTCGCAGAATAACTGTTAAATGTTAACAGCAATCCTGAACTTGCTCTAAATATCGGGTCCATGCAGACTTTCTTGAAAGGTCAAAATGGAACAACAGAGAATAGATCAACACTAAAGCAATTTCACAATCGAGTTTGTTAACGCGGGTTGGGACGAATTTGAAACCGTGCTCAAAATCGTCCGACTCAGGTATTCACACGGTAAAAGTGGATATAGATGGTCCCAAATTCGTTAAGTCTCGTGTGAACGTAGCCTTACATGGAAATGACAAGGAACAGACACGCCGATGTTGAATTATCCATGTCTGTATCAATTCTCAACAGAAGTTGGGAAAGTTTAAACTATGATAAATTATTTTAATATTTCCAAATTTTACTATTTACCAAGTCTTGTGATAAAAATTAGCAAACATATTGAAGTTCAATATTTCCTAGTCGTTTTATGCAATATTAATGTATCGTAGTAATTTAAAGATTTGCCAAAATAAACAAAAGGTATTTACATACATGTAACCTGTACAGCCCTGAAGAAGTATGTCGATTTTCGACGATTGACGAAAATACTGGTTAAAGGTACCAACATTGGATAAATGTCTTTGACAAAATCTATGGCGCTTTGACAAAAATTTATGATGCTTGTAATGGAATTCATGTCCCTAAATGTTGCTAATATAAAGAAATAATATTCTTGTATGTTTGCATGGTGATTTAACTTGTAGGTACACCCCGTAAGCATTTAATACCGAATAATTTTCCCGTCTAAACTTTTCTCAGTTTAAAAAACATTCAGGAGTTTCTCAAATATCAACAAGGTCATGGACGGGGCAAGGCTAAATATTAATAAACAAAATGTTTATCGTAATTTTTACTTGAGTATACTTTATTAAACCATTACGTATACGATACCCTTTTTAGCATTACCCACTACTAACAACTCCTCTCCCTAATAGTTAACATGCACAACTCAACAAAACGGGCTACGAATACACTCATTAACTTAATGTTATACGCGTTTAAACTGGCTCGCTTGCTTATTGGTCGAAACGACACTCATATAAATTTCGTCTACCATACGTATATAATTCATACGATCATCACATGCGGTGGCAATGTCATGCCGTTCCAAAACAAACGTACAGACTTGTAGATGGGGAAGAGAGCAGTGAGTACATAATAGGTATTAGGTGATATATACTACAATCGTGAAAATGGTCATAGTCATAGAACATAGAACATAGAACTTCTGCATGAGCATACGTGGGGGGGGACAAAGATTCAAAAACAATTTGTGAATTCCTAATTACTGCCATTTACTTCTTAAGCCAACCTCATGCATGCACGCAATATGTATGCAGGGCATATGTAAAGCACATCCTCGGAAATACTAAAGAATTGCAGTTTTACTTCAAACCACAAGGGATAGTTACCCAAAACATTCTCACAGCGTTCCCATAAACATTTTAATGATTTGAAAACCTGAGTATACTGAAAAATTTATGGCAATTGCACTCAATTTATGCATAAAAAAATTGTTTTCTACTTATTATCTCTACATTATTACGGAATTGAACACAATACATGCAATAAGCCGTTCCAGGCAAAAACAACGTTCTAGAAATACCTTTACGTCAAGTAGTAACTGTAAGAAGAGGAAATACAGACTGATCGATCCCGACCATGAAACTCCGAACACACAAAATTTTGAAACAATACTCTTTTGAATTTCGATATGAACTCTTGGAAATGTTGCTTAGGAGCATGGTTGTCAGGAATAGTTATTTGAAAAAGCTTCCAAGTAATATACTCACTGTAACGCGAGTGAATGGCTTATTTCTGCATTTGACCTGACATATAACCTTCTTCTACCAATTCGTTACCAGCACTCAACACAGATTTATGCACAGAAAATAAAATGTTCCTAAAATTGTTGAGTACTGGCGGGCAATTGCAACTAAATGTAAATTATCTGCCACATCTGTAGTTCTAATAACTTAGAAAGCATTGAAGTATTTGCATAAATATAGAAAATGGGCAGTTTAATTTCCATAGTTCATTGTACTTCATTGTTGTGAATGGCAAAGTCTGTTGAAACAGTGCTTGGCGACCAAAATTTGTTGAAACAAGGCTTAACACAACTAAATACTCGTACGCTAACGTTAAGTTGCATGTGCATGTTAACTAGCTATAGCATAAATTCGGCTGTCATAGTAGGCATAAGTAATACAACAGTCGTAGCATGTTTATCGCGTCGAATGCAATTCAAATAATAGTTAGGAAGGACGATAATGAAGCTTAATATAGGAAATATCCTGTTACAAATTACTATTAACAATTGTAGCATATGCATGAAGACGTGTGATTAGAGAAACAGTTTAACAGATTACAATGAAATGTTGAATAATTATGTTTTCAATGAACCATGTGGTTATAGTTTCGTTGAACGTTAAAAGATCAATAAATTTTTTAAGCAAAGGAAAATTTTTTACGTATTCTCATCTGCTAACGTGCTCAGCGTCCAATATCTTTTTTTTTGGTTGGACTTTGCATCTAAAAATCAAATATTTGACTCTCTCATGCCCAGACCTTGGCGCACCAGCAAATCGAACTCAAACACATTTTCTCGTTTCGATATATAAAATGCAAATTAGGTTTTTTATTGGTGTTAAACTTTAATGAAGTTGAAAACGGTATATTATTGTACTGATATATTTGAAGCATTAATAAACTTCGTTTAATCGTTTTTTACGTTCGTTTCTGGTGTCTTTAAACGCATAATGAAGCAAATATTGCATGATATCAAGAAATATCGTCAGATCAAGCTCAATGTCAATGTTATCAGCTCGATATTCGTTTCAGCAGATAATAATGATCTTTGGTCTGAATAATTCTTATTACTATATACACAAGCGCCAGATATGAGGCATGCTGCAATTTCATTAGTTAGCTACTAGACAGATATATAAAAGGGAGTTGAGTGAAATAGAAATCCAAGCTTTAGTAAGTTTATTTGATAATAGCACACCAAAATACACCGAAAGGGCGACAAAGTTTGTGTATATAATAAAACAGTTATTCTGCATGCTCACTTTTGTCGTGTTTTCTATCAGCTCATGCATATATACGACTCGAATTCGCAGAATAACTGTTAAATATCGTCAGACCTAGCTCAATGTCAATGTTATCAGCTTGATCTTCGTTTCAGCAGATAATAATGATCTTTGGTCTGAATAATTCTTAATATCATGCAAACGCCATATCCTATTAATTGTTTATTAGATCGTCGTATTTTTAAAAGTATATGAATGTCAAAGTGTAAGGAAACCGTTTGTTTACATACCGATTTGACCTTAAAGTACACGCTGGTAAACTAACAAAGCCGAAACTAGAGCGATAATTGGGAGGGTGAATATTCATATATTCTGTTCTGACAGATTTCTATTGAAAACATAGAAAAACATATGTACCCTCCAATTATCGCATTTCGTTTGGGCTCTGAAACATCCCGGAAAAGACAAATTAGTGAGTCAGTTTACACTTCATGATGTCTTTGGGACAAGAAGAAAGATATAAAAATAAAGAACATTTGGATTGTCACGCCAATCGGTGGTTTTAAAACACAAAGAATCTTTGCCATTTACGCGTGCATGCACATTAAGAAGACTTGAGATGCTTGTGACAATTCTGCTATTTTTCCCAAAACATTATATATTATAATATATAATTGTATATTTGTATATTTGTATGATATCTCTACTTATATGTCATATCTTAAGTATTGTCAGGTATATTACTTATATATAACAGCAAGTGCTGAAATATTTTTGATGTCAAAATAGCGATGGATAAGTTCATGATTGTTAACTATTACGAAACATATCGATCTTCACACGCCCACATGTAATTCAGTCGCTTGTATAAGAATTCCTCGACGAAATTTTCCCTGTTTAGTTTTTAATTGTTTTCATACTAATACTAAATGAGTCATACTAATCTTTCTGAAATTATGCACGGTGAATTAATGATTTAAGTCATCAATTATTTATTCTGTGGATACTGTAATTCTTCGAAATTCAGTCAGTGTTTGACTGCCTATTTATAAACAACGCATGCAATAATAGCTAGAAATAGCTAGAACACTTTGTTGCATTAATTATACTTTAACGGTTTCAATATAGGTTGTATATGGTTGTATAACACTGATCTTTTAGCGTCCAACAAAACTATACCACATAGCTTCCTCAAAACATATTCAGTATTTTATTGCCGTAATCTATTAAGGTGTTTCTCTAATTGCGTATTCATGTATAACATATGAAAGGTGAATTTGAAAACTCTACTCTAGCAACATGAAATTGTAATTGATACACCGCTTCAGGTACTTAAACATATACCTCTCATAACATCTAAAAGTTCATTGTACCTTTGTCAAAATGGTGAATCCATAGCTTGACCACGAATCTATGCTATTCTTATTTTCTTCATAATGATATATTTTCACTATTTAGACCAGTAGCGTATCCAGCCTGACAATTTTCTTCTGCTATGCTATATTTGGTGTTCATTGGCTGCGGAGACAATTAATTTCTAAACAAATGAATAATAATAATAACATGAAATTTGCATAGAAGATTGTGTTGTCAAGTTGGCTACGCCACTTTTTTTGATTTCCTGTGTGTCGGCGGAGGCGAATACGGAATTTTATTGCACGACTGTTAACTATTACGAATCACAACTCACACGCTTTCAGTCGCTCGTAATATAATTCCCTGACGAAATTTTGCATGGTGAATTCATGATTTAACTCATCAATTTATGTCTGTGGGTACTGTTACTCTTCGAAATCCAGTAGGTGATTGACTGTCTCTGAAACAAGGAGTGCAATAATAGCTAGAATACTTTGTTGCACTAATTACTTTAACGATATCAATAATTCCTATGCATGGTTGTCTAACATTGATCTTTTAACATTCAACAAAACTATACCACATAGCTTCCTAAAAACATCTTGAATATTGTATTGCCCTAATCTGTTAAACTTTTTGTCTAATTACGTATTCATGTATCACATTTAAGAAGAATTTGAAAACTCTAGCAACATGAAATTGTAATTGATACGTTGCTTCGGGTAGACATATACTTCTCATGACATCAAAAAGTTCATTGTACTTGTGTCAAAATGGTGACTAGCTTCACGACGAATCTATACTATTCTCATATTTTGGTGTTCATTAGCTGTAAAGATTTGTCGCTTCAATAACGCAATAACAGTTTTTTTTGTTTAAACTATCTTCAAATGGGGCTCTAAAACTTGCCTAAAGTAAATTTAATAGGCACATAAAATTATTTCGAGAACAACAATGGCGTCACTCGGTTTAGCAAAAAATACAACGCACGCAGTTTTTTTATGATAATAACTTTTTTAGTTAAACGATGTTGAAAAATGCAATAATCACACAGTTATAGTTGATTTATTGTGTCAAATATATAAAAATAAAACTGGGTTGAAGTGATTTTAAAAGGTTCCAACTAGATACATGTTCTACGAGAACAAACATAGTGACATTTTAACATCAAAACACGACGCATGCGATATAAGATGCTATTTGTATGTGGTCAAAGAAAATTTATAGCTTTGATTTCAAGTTACAGGGTCCCAAAACACTACCTATAATTTTATTTATTCTTTATGCCAATACTTCCAAGACTGGAATAATGAGCACTGTTTTCAGTCAAGATAAAAAATGAAACGCACTTACCTTGAAAATTTATTCGACTTTCTGGTCAGGTAGAAATATAATATTTACATTTAAAAAAATCCCTCAGAATTTGCAAGCATATGCTGTATTTATTTTGCATTATTTTTTCTGAATAAAGAGCACGGTTGCATAACAACTTAAAAATTGATGTGATAAAGCCATATCACGAATGGCGCGTCAGCATCTTGAGTGCCTTAGCTAGCGTTTCCAGTCACCATCTTCTGGATTGCCTATGGTTTTACAAACTTCATGCTAACTCAGCAAGTAGTTGCTTATGAGCATTTCCTTTTAAGCATTCAATGTCAAAATTTGACAGTGACAGTGGTGTTTCTACGAAATTGTTTGTCTGTATCTAGATAAATTATGTCATCGTTAAAAATGACACATTGTTTGCCAGGAATTAAGCTTCTGCTTTCCCCAAAACAACGAGACTTCGTTCTTAAGTTGTTTTGAAATTTAATATGTCGGTGGAAGAGGGGAGATAAATGTTTACACTTATAGCAAATATATGATTTTCTTAATTCGTACTTCGATTCACATTATCTACAGTTCTCGTCGACATTCGGTTGAAAAATTAATTTTTAGAACATCAATCAGTTACAAATTGCGATGGCTTATGTATGTATTTTCATAAGAACTACTTAATACCGTAGACTTTTTACCTTCGAAAATTAAATGTTCAAATGAAAATTACTTTTTCAGGTGTTATTTTCTCGTTTTTTTTTTGCACGGTGATGGTGTGCGAAATTCTACATTTATATAGGACAATATCCCAAAGTATCCACATATATTATAGGGTGCATTATGACGTAATTTATACGCCCAACTTGCTTTCGTCTTCGCAATGTAGATGTGGTGCACTAGCTGATTGGAATTTTGGGAATTTTCAATGATTTTGCCAATTTTCCGACGCGCTATTTGATTTTGATCACATGATACGGTAACGTCACCACTGTATACATTGCCGTTCGATCAAGTTTAGATATAATTGGGATAGAAATAATTTCATATCGATATATTATGTGGACTTTAGTTGTATTTTAATACCACAGGTAGATAATATTATACATGTACCTGCTTCTATTTCCTCGCTTATCTAACATGTGGTTGCGTGTGGACACGCGCACGTCACACACGATTAAAGAATACGTTTAAGCTTAACTTTGATATTTTAAGCTATATCATTATATTTTCTATATGCATATTGATATTACTGTAAAAGTAGCACGAAATTAGTTGCCGTAAAAGAACTTAAACTGATGTCGTGACCATGTGATCCGTTATAGTGTCAACCGGGTAAAACCCAGCATGAGGCATTTACATTAGCGAAATATTACACAAATTACATTTTAATATAGGGTTGTAAAATGAACAAAGGTTTTTATACAAGCATGCACGAATTCTAAAGTTGAAGTTCGAAGTCATGTCCGTATGTAAACAAACGTTTTGAACTTCTCAAGTTTTTTAAAAGCGATGTGCTGTGTAAAGTTCTAACAACATTTAGTTCTCAACGCTTCCATAAATATGAACTATACAGTGTTCCATAAGCTTCGTATGACAAGAGTGGTAAGACGCTCGAGTTATATTAACGCCAGAGCAGGCGCGTTGCTATCATTAGTCACATACCTCCAAATATACTTCGTCTATACTGTATTTATTGTCTATGAGTCCGTAAGGTAATACATACAAAATCTAATTATTGAGAATCGATTTAATCAGGTGGTTGAACTATAATATTTTAGAACTGAACGATAGTTGTGAGAATGTTTGTTCATATAATATATATTCAGTTCTATGCGACGGATTTCTCCAGCAACACGGACATGAAATAATCTAGTGTTTTAGGTCATTAGGACAACGTTAGTTAAGGAAATTCGTTCAAAAAATAATTAATTTGGTGTACCTGAAACATGTAGATCCCTGATCGACGAATGTGCTCTGTATTTAAGATAGTTACAATATAACTACCTTAATTATAACCATAGCAATTCAAATATTGTGCTTTCGACTGTCGAGACTTGAGTGCAACGATCTCAAGGAACGCCCCTCTGGTAGAATCCATGCCCCCTTCAGAAATCCAGCAATGTACGCAGATATTAAGTCGAAAATTATTTTTATTTAACAAGCTTTGCTTTGAAGTATGAATACATGCGTATTCAGCAATTTGCATACATTTGCAAGTTGAAAAAGTCTATTGTGTGTATCTAAAACCAAATGCACACATCAAGTATAGCATTCTGTCATAAAATATATGGTATTATAGCGAAAAAATTATAAATAACTGTAAAAACATACTTGTTTCGAACATACAAAGTTGTTTTTTGTTTGCGGACAAAAATAGCTAATTCCACTATATTTCAAGAGTTACGGGAGAATTTCGAAAGGGTTGGGATGCGTTTCTGTTAGACATGCGTACATATATAAAAGAAAATTTAACTTGCATTTCCTGGGTGAAAGTTGAAACTATATGATCTATATCATTATAATAAAGATGAGCAGGTTACTATGATTATGATCATGAGGCTTACTACAATATTCTAAAGACCCTTTCCCTTATGTTAGAAGTCGGTGCGGGCAATCGTAAAAACCCTCAATTGTTCTCGTATTAACTTTGGCTTTCACGTATATGAAGCGTCGAATATTTCACGGATTTTTCACGGATTTTCCACGGAGGTTTTCAGCACTACAAACTTCAAATCATTTGCCCATCGTCGAACTGAAAGAAGTCATCCATTTTAGCCTTGGGGATTAGACAAGTATGCAAAACCGTATCGAACAGAACAGTGTCGTGCCTTAATTAGTTTCCTGAATTGTTAATGGCCGCCATATCGATCGAAAACAAGGGTAATTTAATATTACTCCGACTTGAGCGACGGAGTTGAGAATTTGCCTCGGTTTTGTTGTGTTTTTGTTTGTTTTTTTAAATATTTTTCGTCGTCGCAAGTGCGTGACCGTATTTATCTACGTCAAAGTTTTGTGGAGCACAGCTCGAAATCTTTGCCCCGAATATTCCGATGCGCGATTTGATTTCGCACGCATGACATGGCAATTCCTCCAAGACGACAATACAACCGTTCTTTTGATGCTGTTCGATTACGTTTAGACTTAATTGGGGCAAAAATATATTTAATACATGTAGATTCTAGTCCTATTGTAATAATATTGCTGCTATTTCGCCGTTTAACAAGATGTGTTCGTGTACGGGCGCGTTGACACGTCGCAGTTTCCACAGGATTGAAGAATTCGATCAAACACCGGCAGCACGAGTAATGTAAATGACATTTGGGAACACATTACACATGCATATTACAAGTTAATATAAACCCTTATGTTATAATATAAGCGAAAGCTTTTAATATAAGCGCGAATTTCAAAGTGTAAGACAAAGTAAACGATATATCATGCGACGTAATTGATCAGAATGATAGTGATCAGATTTAGGGCATCGAACTATCGCTATAATTTATGTATTAATCCCCAACCGAAGCCAGAAAATGTTAACATTCATTGACTATAAAGGCGGCTGAAAGCCCTTTCCTTCTGAAATCTACATTATCTCAAATGTATAATAACAGTTCTGTCATTCAGTTAATCATTAACAACGTAGTAAATTTGAAACAGCAACAAGAACCTACGTTGGATTTACTGAGTATGAACAAGTACATTAAATATTAAAAAATATTACCTGAAAGGTAGATTTCTGACCTAGAAACACTATCTATGTCGTTTTAAACTGTGAAGAACCTGTCGGAGGGGTTCTTGAAAGCATCATGCAATTGCATTCCTTGGTGGCACTTCTAGCAATTGAATAAGTTCATTTAAGATGTGAGCATAAGAGAAAATACTGTGTACGGCGAGGATCTATTTAAAACGAGGCTAAAAGCGGATTCCACTTACAGCGAAATCGTTCGCTAGCGAAATTTTGCATATTTTCTTTTGAATTTTAACAGCATAAATAAATTAGTTTCTAAGTGTTTTGAGGATGGATTCTAAGTGTATTGATTTGATTTATTCGAGATTAATAAAGTGGAAATCGAGATTCCTATAAGTTCATTTCAAAACTATAGCTATTATTAAGCTTAAGGTTGTATTTGAAAATACTGAACACATGAAAATACAATTTAACTACGATTTGGAAAGTTAACGATGCTATTGAGGATGATTAACTTTAACTACGTTTTAACTATGATTAACGCTAACTACGTTTTTATATAACTGGCTTAACTACGTGATTAAAGTTAACGACGTTTTAACTACAAAAAAAGTGATTAAAAAGTGATTAAGAGTTTTATACAACCGGCCCCTGCATGGCACTAAACTGCCGTATTATAGTCTATAAAATTGGAATATTTTAAGAAAACCTATTTGCAATTAGTAGTCCCAAATTCTTCCCTTTTTGATGAATTTCAACCAATAAATTAGTTCATTTAATAAAGATTTCATTTGTTTTGCCAACAAAAAATGATCTTGTCCAAAAGTACATACGAGTGACCACGAGTGACCACGAGTGACCACGAGTGACCACGATTGATCACGAGTGACCTTGAATGACCACGGATGACCACGAATGACCACGGATGACCACAAATGACCACTGGTGACCACGAGTGATTTTTTTTGGATTGGCTATCTATAAAATTGGAGAACAGTTAAAACGAAAAACAGGGAAAGCTTTCTTGGTTTAAGACTTGGTTTTAAGTTTGAAGTTTTGTGTCATTTTTCTATCCTGGTTCCTCTGCTTTTCCGTCTCCCTGATTTCCTTGTTCCATTGGTTTACAGTTCCCGGATTCGTATTTCAAAGATAGACTTTGGTGATTGAAAATGGGACTGAAAAAGCTATTTTTGTATCGAGGTATGCATGGGGTCACTTTTCCCGCCCGGTGAAGAGTCACAAAACAAAGATGGCGGAAAGTCTTAAGCGCAAGGAATATAGTCCTAAAAGGCTTGAACTTTTTACAAGATATAAGCGTCGAGGAGAATTTAAATGCAAACCGATTGTTTTAAGTGATGAGTGCGAGGCCGAAGGCAGTTTACAGTCTACACGAAAAAGACTTAGTTTTAGTTTTAACGATGGCGACACTGAGTCTAGTGAAGAATGTGACGAAATGATAAAAACAAACGATAGCAATGAACAGTGAAGTAAGGAATTGAAATGACCCCGTTTCCCGCTTTTTATCAACTACCTTAAACTTTGTAATGATGTTAAATTATTGAAAACATAGTGAAAAGAAAAGGGTCAGGGGAGTATTTACATAGTAAATCACAGTCTTAAAAATAGACAAACGGACAGGTCAGGATTTGCTAGTGATTTCTTCTCTCTTTACTTTTCATGGGGGCCAGTTTTTTTGTTCGCCCACTGTATATTTTACATGATATTAATTTATAGTTATATATTGATTACTATATTCAAAACTGAAAATGAAATTTTTTAGACTAGTTCCAGTTATTTTCTGAATTATGGGATTACATCAGTTTTCCGTAGAACATGGACACGGAAAACTGGACATCAACTTTCTATTTAAAGCAGCGAAAATTTGGTTTTTATATAAGTAGTGCTTGCGGTAACAAGTAAAAGATTACAACTGTGCTAAATATTTAAATGAAGTTTTTTTATTCGGGTGTACAATTTCTACCTCCAAATTGACTCCTGGGTGGTCTCTCCAGGTTTAATTGATGCATATTTTGTCTGCGTAGCTCCAGTTATGGTAAATCGCGTGGTAGGGGTAATCTCGAAGGGCTTCCTTTTCTATATCTTAAATACCCTCGCGTTTTCTTTCGTAGATTTTAGTAAACTGCTAAACCCACGAAGATAGGCACCTCGTACCCAGGGTGACAGGGCCTTTTCTCTGTGGTCATTCTGGGGGAGGGATACCCGCTGAGAAAAGACCCTGGGTACGAGGTTGTATCTCAACAAGCACTGCTTTACACTTGGTTTCGATGCAACTGCTGTATAAGAAAACACTGAATGTTCACCTGAATAGTATATATTCATCTAGTCATTCCGAAAACAGGATCACATTACAACCTGAAAACATGTTAGGCAATTTAACAAAAAGTTATGAATATTATTCAGATAAAATTTTTGTTTTAATTGTATAGGCAATTAGTAATTGTTTTATTGTCCAGGTTAAAGGCCCAGTTTCCTACTACAAAGGCAACCGAAACTTGCCACTGCTTCACACGAAAAGTCCGGATCTTGAGGAGATAATTAAATTATGTAAGTTTGGTCCGCAACCAAAAATGTTGTGCAAACAAAAACCTTTGAGAATCCAGGAAACTGCGACATTTGTTATTAATCAAGGTAGTATTGGGTTAAAGCACCCATTTGATCTGGATGCGGATGATATTGCGGGTACTTTTACCAAGAAAGACAGTGTCCAATTTTACGAAATTGATGGAGTTCGGAGGTTCATGTTAAGGCTAATTTCCACTCCGGAAAACGAGCAGCGGATCGGATCGGAGCGAAAGATAATCCGTGCGTACGCCATCTGTTGAAATTTTTGGCTTATATTGATCCGAAAGCGTCCGAGACCGGATAAAAAAAGTTCAAATAGTTTTGATCCTATTCAAAATCACTTCATGGATCGGACCAGCTCGGAAAAAAATCCGATCCGCTGCTCGTTTTCCGGAGTGGAAATTAGCCTTTACTCGCGATAGAAAAGGGCAAATTGATGCAGGGACATTTAACCAGAGAACAAGCCAAGGATGGAAACCTTAAACTGCTAACATTCGCAAATTACATGCAGTATTCCGAAGAAGAGCAGTGCACAAGGAAACATTGGCGAAAGAAGGGTCTTCTTTCAGCAGGGTTATCATGTCTATCATGTCTGTGGAAGAATATAACAATGTCAAAGGAAAAATCGGAGATATGAAGATCTACAACTTGCTCTATCCTTACATTATTATACACTACTACTTCACTGGTGGCCATGTTGTTCCCATCCATGGCCAGCCTCATGTGAACGCTAAGTCAGTAAATGCCACTGAATTCCGACTAAAGGAACATTCAACGAAAGTACAATTAAGAGAAAATGCTGCCAGTGATATGAGAGCACCTAAAACAGTTGCCCAAGAATCAACAGAAGGGATACAATTGTTGGAGATTGATTCAGTTTCGACCATTGTTAGGGATCCAAAGCAGATAACAAATTACAAGTATGTGTATTTTCGAAATGTTTATCTTCTCAATTTTCTTGCCATGTTTTATAATAAGAATTTGAAACATATGAAAATTAGAAAGAAACTTCTTGCAGTTGTATTACACGAAAAACTTGTCATTAATGTTTGACACTATAACGTTATTTTTCTGTGCGTGCATGCAGGCAGATCAAAAACCTGAAATAGGTCATGATTTAAAGCTACATATATGCTGAAATCAATTGTGAGAAAATCTGCCCACGCGCTTAATCCCGTTGTAGAACTTTCTAATAAATAATTCTCCTATGTTTCCAGGTACAACTATGGTAAAAACAAGGATTCGAACGCTGACGAGTTAAACAATATAATTGTTGAGCTTTTAAGCCAAAAACAACAAGGGGCGTATTGTGTCATCGATAAAGAGCAACCATACATCAGGGAGTTTTTTCTGCGCGACTCAAACCGCGTACAAGAATGTTTCTCTTGTCTCGAAAGAAACTGGAAAACATCCATGGTTTCCTCGTCCTCTACTTGTGCACCGAAGCAAGACCCAAGAGGAATTTCAGCATTTCTGGCAAGCAGTGAAACGAAAAACTCCACAGCTGAAGAACGTTGGCGTATTTGGAACTGACGAAGAGTTGCAGTTTATAATGGTATATTGTCAGAGTGCGATGGCAAAACCATACATCTTTTGGGATTAGAGCATGTTAAGGCGATTGTTGAATGGAAACTTGACGAGCTCAAGTTTCCAAACGCGTCTAAAAGGCGCATTATCTCAGACATATCTGGAGGAAAATTAACACAGAAGAATGAGGGATGAGATTAGTCGTCACCTTCCACAAGGCGTAAAAAAAATTACCGTCGAACGTTTTTAACATTTCTCTTTTGTGTTTTCTGTTTTGTGTTTTCTGTGTGTCTCTAGTCGAGAAATATATGTTATTTTCTGGCTGAGAGATAGAAAAACATTTCCCTGAGGTGTCAAAAACGACCCTAAGCCCCAGGCCGAGGGACGTGTTTGAAACTGACGGGTGTGTAAATGAAGCAATCTGATTGGCGGAATTTTGCATCCGGCCCGCTGTGAAATGCAACTACCACTCATATCAACCATGCAATCAGACGCTCTCAACGTATACAGAGTCTTGAAACTAGAAACTAGACACATGTAAATGATATTCTTGTATGTTTGCATAGTGACAGTCGATAAGTGCTTGTAGGTACACCACGTAACGAAAGTTGTTTTTAATCTGATATAGAAAAGAGTTTTGTATCAAAGCCAGGCAAGACATTGTACAACATATTCGTTTATTTAATGTAATTTAACGGGTTTACAAACATGAACATAAAGAAAATTTAGAATTGGAAATAACAAAACAATAGGCCAATATTAAATAAAGATAAAATTGTGTTAAACTACCTTCTTTATGCGGTTATCCTTTTAAAATTTGCCCTTTTTTTGCGATAAATGCTACGGAATACGAAACTAAATACAAGATTATAAGTCAGATTCCCGTAAAACTCAAACGTTTGGAACAACTGCTTTTCTAGTATATTTTTGTCCTCAGTGCAGTTCTATAAAAAGACAACTTTGTCTTATTCCATCAATCTTATACACCATAATTAATAAAAAAAAAGCCAAAACAACGCCTGGAATAATGAAATTCGTCGTTTCTTTCTGTATTCGATGGAATTCACCGTGAAAATGTAAATAAAAAAACGCGCACACCGGTCTCTGGTATGGATTTTTATTTGCTTGCAAAATAATGCACCTCAAGCTTGGGGCGAGTTCACTTGGTAGCGAAAGCAATAGCAACTTTCGGCCTAGGGGAAATGTCCGTTCGTTTTAATCCTGCGTAAACTGGAATATTTTTAAGGCGGCCCTCTTGTCTAAAAAAAAGGAAAAAATGAGAAATTCTTACACCATATATATTAAAATATTTGATAAAAAACAAACTATTCTTTCTTGCATCACTTTATGGCCTTGGGGCATAATTAAGACTTCCTCGCATATATGCTGTGACTTCTTTGTATAGCCTATATCTATTTACCAAGATGAACAAGGTAGCCGGCTACTTGGTATTACCAACTAAAGTAGTCGTGGTGATTGTCACTACATGCTAAACAACAGTTTGCCGTTGAATTAATGGCAACGTAACGACATCCTTGTTAGAGACACTGGAAATTTTTTCCCACTACGAATCAACTTCGTCTCTAATGGTTCCAACAAAAGGACTATGTTATTCTTTTTTCTTTTGTCGATTTCTTTAACTTCATCATTATTATTCAAAGGTTTCTCCTCAAGGATATCAATGTCAGCCTCCTCTTTCTGGATCGTCATAAACGCACCAAAACTATTGATTATGACAACCATGGTTAAATACACAAATATTATCGGGAAAAACATAAGATCTTTGTCCCCAACATTTTCGGGTATGTTCTCAATAACAGCAATGGCTATACTTGAATGTCTTGCCGAAGAAAGAACCGTGACAGACAGTATTGACTTCTTGGACAGGCGTAACAGGGATGCAAATATGAAAGACATCACCAGAAACGACGTGATGACAGCCGTACCAAGAGCAGTTACAGCCACAATCATCCAAGGTGAGAATTTTCGAAGGTCGCCTTTCGCTGTAGCTTGGCTAATTTTAACCCAAAACATAACAAGGAGAGCCCCAGAGGTGACGAATTTCAGATACGTATTTAACTTTTGAACAATATCTTTTACCCATTTAATAAACCTCAAAAGTCGCCCAACCTAAAAATATCGGTATTTTGTCATATACTTAAACGTTGTCTTTAAACATTTTAAGGCAGTTGATGTTAAAAAATATTGCGGGATAGTGACTTCAGGGTGTACACTACAAAATGTTTTTATATTTTAAAAAAAACATTAAGATCTATTGATTTCATATTACTAGCCAACTGAAGTTATCCTAAATGAAGTTCTGAGACCTTTATGAATGCGAATGTTTTTTTTCTTCGTTCGAACCCCAGACACACCCGATGATGGAAAATTGGCGGCTAACCAAATTTAACACTGTAATGATGGAATTGCTTTTATTTAGCTTTAAATAAGTTCACATAGATGCTGAACTAAAACAATTAACTTTGGTGCAATAATAATAGTTTAGCACGCATTGTACACCTTATATGAGTACATGATTTGTTAAGAAAACGAACGGGGGTTCACATCAGCTGGTGGGTTTAAAAAATGCTCCTACCCAAGCATGAGATAAACATTTAAATAGCTTTTCATACTTACAATCAAAGGTAAAAGAATGTACAAAACCACTCCAGGTAATATAGTGAGAAAACTGACACTGGCGGTCTGAAATGCTGGTATTAACCATGTTGTCATGACTGGAACTGTAAAGACTGATATGACGGTGGCAATTATTGCAATCAGTAATGTCAATGCTCGGTCCCCATTTGCTTCTGTCACCTACAGTTATGACATAATAAAACAAGGTCTGAAACTACAAGTGGAAACACCCTGCATACCATTGATCAGGCAACCTTAGTATAATTTCCATTTGGCCATGGAAGTTTGAAAACTTTCGTCTTGGAAGAAGTAAGCACACAATTAGTTAATACTCGCTGTTTTTCATTAAAGACTTTAAGGCCTGTTTATATGAATTCGAATACCAGGGAAAACTTTTATTCAACTTTGTCTCGGCCTCCAGGGTTAACTTTTCCTCCTAGCGCATGTGCAATAAGTAGTAGTTAAAGTACCAGCGGCCGATCTGTGATTAATCATTAATGTGTTTAATTATTGTAAATCCCATGCGGATCGGCCGCGAATATTTTAACGCGCTCGTGTAATGAATAAATTAAGCTTAATGCATATTGGGGGTGTGTGTAACGGAGTCATGAATACTAATTAAGATTAGTTGTATCAAAGTTAAAAGATGAATTACTAATTCATAAGACGGATAATGGAGAATTACAGATGTCTACATTACAGATGTAACAAAAATACTGCGCAATGATTGGAAGTTAGACTCATTAATTATTCATGATTTCACAATACAGCATTTCACCATAGAACATTTCTTAAGAAGGCACTGTCGCTTCCTATTGCAATTTTATCTTATAAACAGCGCGTAAAACTGATGTGTAGGGCTGATGGCTAACCGGCCAACTTTGTGATTTAACTGCGCTATATTATAACATATTGAAAATGAACACTAAAAATACGCACGATGTCGAACTGTTCTTAAATGCATTCCCTGCGTGCGCATTTTATGGTAATTACCGACAGTTAATAAAGAGGATTCTCGATTTAGGATTACTAAGATTTAATCAAAGTTATTCCTAACAACGGGCGATTTTAAAACGATTCAAAAAACCACTATCCGGTGGATAGCGCTATCCGGATTTCATACAATCGATCCAGGATATAAATAACCATCACATATCCAAATAGATATCACAACACATGTGGGCACCATTTATAATTTAATATCGAGCAACATGATTTAAATTAAAAGTTTGCCAAATTTTTCGCCTGAAGAGAACGCTATTCGCCTAGTGACATTGATAGAGAGAAGCTATGTCAACACTTAAGAACTAAACACGACACTTAAAACATATTTCACCAACACGACACTTAAAACATATTTCAACTTCAAACCCAAGCCGGCGCGAGAGTACTAATTCAGCTGAGAGATTTATTACACCTGGGTATTTCGACAAAACATTGTGGAATCCACAGTTGTCCAAATTCTATGTCATGGACTGTCCACGTTGGATGATTTTGTTAGTTATGCGCATGGGCGAAATTTAAGCGAGTAAAGACTGGTAACCAGCTGATACAATAAGTGATTAAAGGAGAATGATATTTAATCTATATAAGCTATAATTATAGTCTTTTAAACAGGTAGGTGTCGATTTTGTTTATTCCGTATTTGCTGAATTAAAATAATGAATTTCCTGCTTGAAGGGGCTGAAAGACGAGTGATGATAGCTTCAGTTTTATGATATTTGAATCCGAATAATAGTAAATCAGTTATCGACTCATTTGAGCAGTGTCATAATATAAGCTTAGATTTGGCGAACACAGGAAATTTGTTGTTTGTATTAAATGAGGGAGGGATTACTGTTATCAAATAACTAGCTAGGTCATGCATATGTATTTAGTGAAGAGCATTGACGTTTACAACAACCTCGACGGTAATTCAACACTGAAAATAATTTTAGATAATGCAAGGCTATATTTTTAGCAGCTGAAGTATAATATTAATTATATGAAAGATAAGAGACGAGATTTAACTGGGTACCAGGGTCGAGCTGGCCAAGCCGGCGCCACTAAAACAAGATGTTCCACATTCTGTGAAATCACCTGTCGTATAGACATCGACCTATTAGTGCATGCAAAGGGAGGAAACGCGCATGCAAAGGGAGGAAACGCATAACCTCTGTATTCCACCCTTATTATTATGAACGCATCGGTTTGAAACGCATGCGGGTCTGGTTTGAAACTCGCAAATTTTGGTAATTGCCAGTCAGACGTGATGCAGAGGTCTATCTCTAGGGGCCCCCACTTCTGAAAAAGTGTTTGGAAAAAAACTTGGTTCAGTTTCCAATCTCTGGAATCTGTCAACAACCTGGATTACATGTCTGTTCTCACAATCAATATTCCAGGCAGATGTTCCGCCGACACATGTATTTGTTGCTGGATGCACCAATTGCATAGATCTATGGCTAGATTGGAGAGTATTTTGTGAGTGGTTCCCCCAATTTTGTTGATGTAAGTTACTACTGATGTATTGTCCATCAAACAACCTTACATGAGCTACTGCTTTGAGTTGACAAAATTTTTTGATTCCAAACGACCCGGCTAGAAGTTCTAGACAATTTATATGAAACGTCTTCTCCTTTGTACTCCAAGAACCCCCTGTATTCACCCCTTCGCAAGATGCACCCAATCCCTTTCGAGATGCATCTGTTTCGATTAGCAGATCGACTGAGCTTTGGAACAGAGCTTTTCCGTTCCAACCCTGAAGGTGGTCCCTCCACTAAATTATCTCCTTCTTCGCATTGGAGTCGAGAGTAATTAACGCCTCGTATGCATGATTCTAGGGAGTTTAACCTTTGGTTTTTTGAAGTTTGAAGGTTGCGGTATTGAAGAGAAGCAGGGAACACAGCTTCGATAGAGGCGGTAAGGAGGTCCAGGAATTTTGAACTAACTCATTTAGATCTACATTTGTTGGCAACGTTCCTTATCTTCCGCAGCCACTCGTCTGGAAGCTGGAGTGACAAAGTTGCCGAATTTATTAGAAAACCTAAAATCTCTACCCGTTGTGTTGATTTGAACGGAGACTTCTGGAAGTTGATAAAAAATCCCAGATTCTCCAACAGATTTAGAGCGGATGCTGCATGGTGCAGAACCAAGCTCATAGATTCCGCCATTATAAGAATGTCGTCTAACTATATAATTAGACGAATTCCCAACATTGCTACAACTGGTTTCATTAGCTTTGTGAAAACTCTTGGTGCTGTGGCAAGGCCAAATGGAAAGCATGCAAACTCTAGCATAGTCCCCTTCCAAAGGAAGCGTAATGATTTCTGGCGATCGTTCCAAATTGGAACTGTCAAGTAAGTATCCTTTAAATCTACCTTCACCACTAGTCGTCATGCTTTAACAGGTCTCTAGTGTTCGTACACTAGAAATTGATTGAGTGGCTTCAAACAAACACTGAACTTATAAAGCCTGTTGCATCATGTATAGTCGATAGAGTACTTTATGTTTTGTTTTAATTCTTTAAAGTCATTGTACTTAAGTGAATAATAAAGGCAATGCATTGTTAAATTGAGACGAGTATCTTGAAATATAATTAATATTACGCCAATGAACTAAATGGGATTTCAATTAAGTAACTTGTTCCAGATGTATGCTCCACGTTTGCCCACTATTGATGATAACTGATATAAGGACGCCCATGAATCATGTCAGCGTCGACATCATGTAGTTCTATGAACGATCTAAATATTTTACCTAAATATTAGATTAATCTTCTATCGTATCATAAAGATGTGAATGTAGTATACACTGTGACCATATATGAATATTTCATAAGCAAAGCTGCTCAAATTATGTTAGGTTGTCCCCTCCTGGAATAAATTTGGTAATTGTTAAAATAAGATGGGGCTGTTTTATGTGCATCCCACCGAATCTAGCATAAAAATGCCAAAATCTGGTCACCCTGGTAGTATAAGACATTATCCGTCGAGTGTTTCCTGTCGCCATAGCCATATTGTCTTACAAAGAACGCGTGGGCAACAAAACCAACTACAGCAAAAAGATTAACTAAAGGTATTAATTAATGTAATAGGATTGTATTTTAGTACCAATCACAGTTAAAATATTGCGTTGCTTCCAACAGTGACACATATGTGGACATAGGGAGGAAGGCTAGTGTTTTTCAAAGGTTTCTGTTACCCACAATCAAACTGCACTTGAAAACTTAGCACCTCGAATAGGTACTTTCGCATTCAGATTACGTATATTGACTATACTTAGAAGCTACTCTTTATATTGGTAAAAAATGCATTATTTACGCTTTGTTTTATCTTAATTTGTTTATCATAGGTACGTGTATTAAAGGAAATATGTACTTGAATTCGCTGTATATGCACGCATGCATAAACCAACGTTTAACACAATTATAAACAGATCAGCAGTCAGTTTTTTAAACACAGGTTTATTATATATTCTAATATGAAAAAGTGCGCATAAATCGTTTTTTAAAAACACGCGGACATAGTAGATTAGGTGTTATGTGACCGCCTAAGCTATACTCAGATGGGTTTTCTATTTATAATTATATATCGATCATTTATCCAAGAATTTGAAGTATTTGCCAGCATGGATGTTTACTGCGTCCAGATGTTAATACCAGATGTAGATAAAGAGTAGGCATCAATAATGATCTTACAAACGTCAAACAGTGGTATACAAATCTTATTACAACTCAATTAAAAAAACTGTTTATTTTACTTAAAAAAACAGGGTGAGTAAAAAAACCTGACACCTTTGAAATTCAAATTAGCCGCATAGCGCGGCTGTAATGTAACAGAAGTTGCCTAAAATATCTCATGGGCATACGAAACATATCAAATACGGGAATCATTAATAAACCTAAAACATAAAGTTTGTTCCCTTTGGTAGTTAAAATGCAATCTATGCTCAGTAAATAAAAAAGAACAGTTTTATCAACGCGCCACGTTGAATTATTTCAATTGGTTTAAACACTTTCGCATTAATTAACCACGTCTTGTTGATTGTACACATGGGAATTGTAAAATTCCAGCCATAAGTTCGCGGCTAATTTGACTTTCAAAGTGTCAGGTTTTTTTTACTCATCCTGTATTTTTGACGCTATGATTTCTGACCATGATATCCGTAGCAATTTGATAATTATGTTGATTTACTTGAACTGG